ATGACTCATGTGTAAACTAAATAATGAATCGTCCGAGCTTGAGCTTCCTTTCTCATCAGATTTGTAAGCATCTATAGATTTACAATTAGAATTTGTCATTTTGAACTTTAGTTCAAGTGATTGAAGTGTACATATGTTAAAAAATTGCGTCCAATAGGTACCTAATGAATTTTTAATCCATTTTTTAGTTAACAAATTTGTTTTTGCATCAAAATACAGGGTGTCCGGGAAAATGTGGGAAATCTCTCGGATTCAGATAGAACATGAAAAAATAAGATGACACGTTCCTATAAATTTTTTTCCTACTGGCCATCCTTACGGAGGCATGGGCCCCGAAAGGACACCCCTGCAAATTGGTTTTCCTTGAATAACTTTTAAAGTACTACATATAATTTAATAAAAATTTAATATGATGGACCCTGGTAAGGACCTCTTAAAATAGTGTCATTTAAAAATGCTTTACTTTTTAATGCTTAAATTTTGAACACCCCGTATGACAAAGACTTAAAAAAACTAAATCTGCATAGCTTGAACCTTAACCCTTTCAGTCCCAATTTATTATTTTGGTTCAAATGCCGCGATTTTGTTATGTTCCTTTGATATTGATCACAAGGAACTAAAAAATATAATTTAAAATTTTAATTAGCAAAGAGGGGCTTTTGGGGGTCCGGGATTTATATGTCCCAATGGGTACTTAATGTGGGACATATATGTCCCAATAGGTACTTAAAGTGGGACATATATGTCCCATTACTACTAATTTTGAGGACACAAAAAAGGAAGAACTATAGAAAACCGGGTTTTATTTTTATAACGTGTGATACCACCATTTGGTGGTCTATTTATCCATATCGTAGAGGCCAACAAGAGATTAACTCCCCCCATATATTTGTTATAAAACTCTTATCATCTTTGGACAAGAAATTTCTAAACGACTATCATCTTTAGTTTTTCTATTACTTATAAATGGTCGTGAAAATTCATCACTTGAAGCATCTGAGGATATACTGAGCATATTCTGAACCACTATCATCGAATGGTTCCTCTTCCAAATCAGAAAAATTCTCTGCCAACTCTGCCAATTTTTTTTTTATAAAAATGGAAAATTACAAATTACTTCTAGTATTACCACTGGGACAAACATATCCCACTGCCAAATGCCACTGGGACATATTTAACCCATCAACAAATTTTTAAAAAATTACTCTATATTTGCTATTTTTACATACATAAAAAAGTTTCTATAGTAATAAATAAACATTTACAAATTTACTTCGACATTTTTTCACATATAGATATTATAACAAAAAACACCAAATAAAGAAGTATATATACTTATAAACACGCAGCACGGGCTAATTACTAATAACTAACCCACTAACTGGTTTCAAAAATAGGCCCGCGAAAATTTTGGGTTAAAAACAATCTCTAAAACCAGTGGGACATCGACCGGGTTTAATTTATAGCGCGTAATACCCTTTGGAATTCTTTAAACAGCGTCTGGGACTTATATAACCCATTGGGACTGAAAGGGTTAAACTAAAATAAAGGTACTCTTGTTTATTGTCAATAAAATGAACCGTTTTCGAGAAAAAGAATAATAAACAAATTCATGTTTTATTTTTTAATAAAAAGGACCATAAAAAATAATATAACGTATTGTTGCAAACCTTAAATTGAAGGACGATAATTCGAAACAATGAATTAAAAACTTTATAAGAGGGTTCAACATGGGTTCCGTGAACTCTGATACATTCGCGGGCAAGACGAATTGAGGACTGCTGTACCCGCTAGAATAACCCAGAATTGTTTCTTAACATATCACAATAAAACGTGAATATCTGTAGAAGTTCCTCTATCGGAGTGGAATACACCAAGTTTTTTTAGGTATCCCCACAGGAAAAAATCCATCAGCCTAAGGTCGGGAAATCGATGAGGCCAGTCAATAGGTTCTCCTCTACCTATGATAAACGTTATTCAAGTGCTCCCGCACAGCAAACGCTGAAATGAGGTGGTGCCCCATCGTGCAAGAAGTACATGTTTAGGCGGGTTTCAAGTGGTAAGGGCTGAAAAGAATAGTGCTAATAAAGTTTACATTATTTTGTTGCTGATCCAATAGCCAGTTTGCAAACTGCATTCTATAAGGAAAATCTTCAGAAATAAGTTTATGCACTTTTTGCATATGATAGGGATATAATAGCTGTTCTTAAAGAACATCATGCACTATTTTTTTCGACGTATTAAACTGTGCTGATAGTTTTCGAGTGCTCGTTGAAGGAGTGTCATCTACAGCATTTAAAATATTTTTCAAACTTACCTAAAATTATGAAGAAAGTCAATAATATTACCGAGGGGTAAACCACTGATTTTTTAAAATTAAAAATCGCTTACGAATTAACGGCTAAGGATAACATTTTGATCTCATCTTATCCTGTTTCATAATTTTGCTCTTTTATAAAATTTATATATCACATTCATTAAACCAGTTTTATTAATTGTATTTTTATAAAACATGAAGTTTGTTAAATGCAGCGAAAGTCTCGAGAAGAGCAGAAATCAAAGAAAACCATAAAAGGATTGTCTAATTATTAAAAAAAATATCTTATAATAAATAACAATACATTTACTTTTAAAAACGAAATTATGATAGTCGCCAAATAAATGACAGTTTGATAATTTTTGTTGAACACAGTCAATATTTTTTATTGCAAAACTCTGCTGTCAAAGTTAACAAAAATTTATATGCCACTTCTACAGGCATACGAGAAAAAAATCATGAATTAGAAGATTAATTAAAGACATGGGCTGTATAGGAGATGTATGCACCCGTAGAATTGGCATATAAATTTGTGTCAACATTCACAACAGTTTAGCAAAAATAAACGATAACATCCCGTGTATCTTAGGCGTGTAAAATAGGCTTCATTAATGAATGTCGATCTTTCTGCATGAAAAAGTTTTATTGTTTTTAGAAAGGTTGGTAATAAATAATTTTGTTCATTATAATAATATATATAACTATAATAAATTTTTACTCGCAAATCTTTCTAAAACTTTGTAAATGTCTTTTAATTAAACTCTACTACAAGTCTACAACCTACAATTTTTTCAACATTTTCTTATAGCGACTAATATCGTGCCCAAACCTCCTTAAAGAAAAGCAAAAATGTTAGCGTAGTGCAATTTGACCTTTTCAGGTATATACTGCATTTCTTAATGATCTTATGCAAGATATTTATGAGTGAAAAATTATATATAAATTAAATAAATTAACATAAATAAAGTGCTCAAAATTTAAAAAGGAATTTTTAATAAAACATTTATATTAATAAATTGAACATAAATTGTTTTTTTAATCGGATTTCCCTCACTCGTCAGAAAAAAATAAATTTGCGAATGCGTAGAAGGGACAATTACACTAAATTCATTTTTATTATTTAATTCTGCGTTAGCTTACACAGAATTAAATTCGCCATATTTAATTCTGCGTTAGCTAACAAAAATGAGTGTATAGAAAAGTTTATAAACGAGGTGCATACTATACTTTTTCTACGACAAATACTTATTATTATCTTAAAATGATTTAAATCAAAAATTTGGATAGAGCGCCATCTATGAAACAACAGGGGAAACTGTCAAATGTCACATTTTTACATTTTCTAAACAAAATTATAAAGGTTATAAATCGAAATGTATCTTGAAAATTCACAGTTTTTCACAGTGAAAGTAAAGGAAATCTTAAAATGATTTAAATCAAAAATTTGTATAGAGCGCCATCTATGAAACAACAGGGGAAACTGCCAAATGTCACATTTTTACATTTTATAAACAAAATTATAAAGGTCGAAATGTATCTTGAAAATTCACAGTTTTTCACAGTGAAAGTAAAGGAAATGTTTTATGAGGACTTTACAGTAGAGTCCGTGCCCGAATTTAAGTTATAGTTTACTGCCGGCGAAATTAAAAGGTCAGTACAATGTTCATATAAACTTTTCAAATATTGGCGTTGAGAAACTATTTAATATTTTTGTATTTTTGAATTGAGATAATAAAATAATTTTCACATTTAGTATTATTTTACAAGAAAGGCACTTTATTTTAACGATTGTATGACATTTGACAACTGTCAACTAACTTAAAACAAACTTCAGCCCATGACTAAAAACCTTTTGCTAACTTCAGCCCGTGACTAAAGCGCAGTAAAGCCACAACTTGTCAATGTGTATTTAAAAGTTCACTTAGTGTCATGGAAACATGTACGATAAAGGGCGTTTTAAAGGTGAAGAGTAAAAAAAATGTTTTTTTAATCGGATTTCCCGCACTCGTCAGAAAAAAATCAAAACACTTTGTATACATATTTCCTATTGAAGTATATAATATATACTTCAATAGGAAATATGTATACAAAGTGTTTTGATTTTTTTCTGACGAGTGCGGGAAATCCGATTAAAAAAACATTTTTTCTACTCTTCACCTTTAAAACGCCCTTTATATATTATATTATATTATAACAAACAGAGATATGGAGAGATACCTCCATATCTCCATATTGATTAGAATAGTTATTATTTTCCTATTATTTTCCGTCGAGTTTTGTGTTTATTTATTTTATATTAAAAATTCCTTATCAACTTTTGAGCAGTTTATTTTACACATTTATATGGTAGGTAAAAGAAAATACGCCCTGTATAAATAAAAATATTTTGCAAAATAATTATAAAATATGTATTTGATTTATTTATTTTTGTTATGATTATTTACTATATATATTATAAAATTCAAGTTATATTTTAAATCCCCTTATCAGACATGTTTTGGTTAAAAAGTATTTTTTTTAATGATTTTACACACAATTTGATAATTAATTTTAGAACTGATCGTTTGTTTATCTAAAGGCATAATGTATAAAGAATGTTATTAGTATGAATAAAAAAATGTTAAAAATTTCAATCAAACTTAAAAATATATAAATAACTCTAAAAATAAAGGAACATCTGGCAGTCATGGTTAACATTAGTAGCGGCAAGACGTTGAAAGCACCGGTCAAAAATGTTCAGGTATTACGAACAAATCGTAATATTTCTGATGACAATTTATTTGTGCATTTTTATTGTGTTTTGCCGGGGTCATGTGAAGCTTATCACTTGCGACTTAAGTTGCTCCAGGCCTTTGCCGAAAGTTGTTAACACATCCGATTGGTTAAATATTGGTAACGAGTTCCTAGTTACACCAAAACAAATGGTCATTTACAGGTAAGTTTGGAATACCAAAATTCAGAAGTCCGGAAAATAGGCTTCATTAATGAATGTCGATCTTTCTGCATGAAAAAGTTTTATTGTTTTTAGAAAGGTTGGTAATAAATAATTTTGTTCATTATAATGTATATCATATTTTTAAATGCTATTTCTATGCTTATTAGTGTGCCCGTTATTTCCCAAGTTGGGAATTAACTTAATTAATTATTTATAGACTAAAATCAATTTTAGAAAATTTATATGATTTTCCGATGTTGATTAACCCTGCCTAAAATAATTATGCTTTTTTAAATTTAAAAACAAAAAAATTGATAACTCGCTTATAAATAGACATGCAATAATACACAAGACCAGTTTTGTAGGAAATTTTACGTTATACAAAAAGGTCTATATATTACGTTTTTTCGTAAAACCATACATTTAAAAAATATCGGAGGTCAAAGTTCCAAATAAATTTTTTTCTCTGAATTTTTCGTAGTTGGCTTTTTTTAATTGGGTTTTTGGTACAGTTTAACAACAATTCTTTTGAAAAAAAATCCGTTGTCGTTTAATAATAATTCCTATAGTTTGTTGCCCAACAGTTTACACCAAAATAGGACATTCATATTATATATAAAAGGGGTTACAAAAAATAAGTACAAAATAAATATAAAAGATTAAAACTAAATGCGAACAAACTTATAACTAAATATAAAATCTGACCAAGGCCGTGCGGATTTTCTTATAGGGGGTTTTATTATTAAATTTTTGAACATAAATACATTTAAAATAATTACACCGTGTTACAAAATTTTAAAAAAATTGCAATAGAGCTAGGATGTTTTTTTCGTGTTCAGGGCACCCAAAAATTCAAAAAAAAGGTCTATAGCTTGATTGAGTCAAACAGCCTTGGATATAGCTTAAAATTTGCGCAATATTCTATTCTTCAAGAAAAAGTAAGAAATGTTCATATCTCTTGTGTTGGTATTGATAATTCATTTTAAATGATAATAAAACCAAAAGTTTCTTCTGCTATATAGTAAATTTAAAAGTAAACTACGTACACGTCATCAATAAAACAAAAATTTTACGCATTGGTACCAACACTAAATGACTAAATCGGAGTCTGTAATTGAATATTTGAATGCATTTTAACCAAATTAAGTTGGCAACAATTGTGATGTTGTCATGTTTACATTCAAATTTTTCATATTTAAATGACACATAAAAAAGAATTTGACGTTTTAGAATTTCGAAGCTGTCAGTTGTGTTTTTGAATATTTCATTTAATTCGTGTATTATTTCGTTTATTTTGTTTGTTGTTTGTGTTATTTTATATCGTTTAAGTTTTCATTGCCGTTTTTGTGTTTGTTATATATCGTTTTTTTGTGTTTCCTATATTTAAAATGCCGAAGCATTTAAATAGTCGGAGTCAAGAGTTGGTGTCATCCTTAATACGCTATTTTGAGGCAGAACGGGATAATAATGGACCTTTGTTACCTTTAACAGCTGTTAGAGAGGTAAATAGGATTATTATTAATTATATATTAGAATATTTAACAAAATATATGTTGGATACATGAAATAATAATATATATACCAAAGATTGACTTTAGATGGCAAAATTTTTGGGTTTTATATCAGAAAATGTCTTTAAAAATGGCTAAAAACATACTTTTGGCGGTGCATCATATAGGTTATATAAACCATAGACTTTTGACATTTTGGTATTATCATATACTTACCGTAAGTATATGGGTATTATTCATGTAAACGCCATCTATCGCCCTGTAGTTGCACTACCACTTTCCCTTGATGCAAGGATTTTAGCATCACATTGACAACCGTGCCCGATCAGCTGATTGATGACGTGTACGTAGTTTACTTTTAAATTTACTATAGCTTATAAGCGCTTTTTTACGTTTAGTTTTTGAACACGAAAAAAAATATCCCAGCTATTTTGGAAAACAGTGTAATTGTTGCAGAAGAAAGAAACTGTTTATTGCATGTAAAAAAACTTGAATATGAAATTTTATTATGAAAATTCCATAATTTACATTAGTACAATAATGTACTCTCTAAAAATAGTTATTAGTGGCTGCTTTTTCACTTGTACAGTTACGGAAAATAGTAATGTCCATTTGAATGCTCCATTAGGGTTTTGGTAATAAAATTAACATATTTATTTTTAAACTTAATAATTATACCTACCTGCTATTTATTATTCTTTCTGCACACATTTCATTTGACTTTTAAGCTTTTATGCAATAAATATTATATTATAATCCAAACAATTTAAATATTTAAGGAATAAAATTGATTTTGAAATAATTTAAATATAATATGTGTTCTATAATTAATTTAATAAACTACATGTTATTTAATTAGTTGTTATTTTTAAAATATATTTAAATTAAATTTATAGACATTTAATACTAAAATAATTATAAACTTATGCATAATTCTGTAACTAAAATTGTTAATAACCCTCTTTAATGTGTTTTTTGTTACCTGGGTAATTTGAATTAAAATATTTATTCTTACTATGTAAATTAAATCCATTAAAATTTTAAACTAAAATGCATTTTGTGCTTATAAAAAGAAATTTACTTTTAATACGTTTACCAACATTTTAATTTTCATTATTTGTTTTATGAAATAACTGCCCAATACCAACTTATTACAATGTATAAAAATCCAATAAAATATGAAAACGGCATAAACTTATAATTATTATAATAATTGAAGTTTGGTCTTCCCAAAGTGTCTAAATGCCAAAAATATAAATTTTTGAGTGAGTAATCAATGAAAATAGTAGATAAAATACTTAAATCGTTTTGCATGGTATATAGACTTTTTTTAAATAATAATTTAATATTTGTTCAAATTGGGTCCAAACCCTTTGGGAATAATAAATATTCTGTTAAAACAATGCGCAAAGAAAAATTTCTATTTAAAAAGAAATGTTAAATAATTATTAATGTTATTATTTACCATTTTTTTAAAATAAAAATGCCCCTTTCTTTGCACTTTGTTTTAGCAGAATATTTTCTTAAATAAAGGGTCCTACTAAATTTTACCATAAATTTGGTTTCGCTGAAAAAGTAGGAAAATCTGGAAAATTTCTATGAATTCAACTTTTACCTTGAATACTTTTTATAAGAGTTAAGTTATCATAAAAATTATACCTTCTTTGTAAAGTATTCAATTCCCTTCAAAAATTTGTTTTAGTTTTATCGGTCCACTAATGACGAGTTAAAACTTTTAACTTAAAAGTACACGGAGAAAAAAGTTTATTGCTCCCAAATAAAAAAAATATTTAAATATGGGACAAGGGTACAGTTTATTTATCCTAAATATATTTTTATTCCTGACATATAAAGTTTTACTAAAGTATATTTATCGTTATTATTTCGAATATTTAGAGGTAATAAACAATATATTCACTACAAATAAAAGTATTAGGTAAACAGTTTATTTGTCCCATTTTTTTCTCAGTGTACCTACCTACTTTAAAAAATTAGGGATCTGTAAATTTAATATCAAGAGCTCACATTTTAACAGGACCATTTTAACATTATAATTATTAATTATTATTAATTATATCAAACGGTTTTTGATAAATCTTATTTAATTAAAAAATATATCAAATATAAAAATTCTAAATATATATTTTTATATATTAAGGAGATTCTTCCAAATGAATAATGCACTTCCCTGCTTGTATAATTTTTTTATTTTCAAAACCGACTAGTTTCGACTATTATAGTCATCCTCAGGGTTTACGTCATTTAAATAAAATATACAGATTAATATTAAACATTTGTATGTATATTTTATTTAAATGACGTAGGTAAATGACGTAAACCCTGAGGATGACAATAATAGTCGAAACTAGTCGGTTTTGAAAATAAAAAAATTATACAAGCAGGGAAGTGCATTATTCATTTGGAAGAATCTCCTTAATATATAAACATACCACTGCTAAAATGGATTACATAATAAAACAAATATATTTTTTAATTTTAACATATAAACGTGCAACAAGTAATAACATGTGTTTTTTATTCCTACTCTCTAAAAATAGATTAGTCAAAAATGACTAATTTAATAGTTATTAGTGGCTGCTTTTTCTCTTGTGCCATGGTTAACCATGGTATCCAAAAATTTAACAGCCAATTCTTATGTAAAATTATCCCCTGAATCCGAAAATGTCGTTGAAAGTTAATAAAGTAAAACAGTTTTTGAGATATAGTCAATTTTCCATTTAATATGGAATTGACTATATCTCCACTTTCATAATTATTGACGGTATTTTCGGATTCAGGGGACACTTTTACATACGAATTGGCTGTTAAATTTTGTGATACCATGGTAGCCACTAATACCTATTAAATTAGTCATTTTTGACTAATTTATTTTTAAAGAGTATGGTCGTAGAATAGTGTATTGAATCATTGCTAGTTCTCAGTTTTTCATAGAATGAATGTATACGTTTTATAAAACTATAATAAATATTTATATTTATTATACAAGCAGGTATGCTATAGTAAATTCTAAATAGACATATTTTGAAATAAATCCCTAAGAGGCAGATGTTGACTATTTCCGAATGCTTCCGAACAGTTACAATTGAGCATTCAAATGGACATATTACTATTTTCCGTAACTGTACCATGGTTAACCATGGATTATCATGGTATCCCATAATTTCATAATTTAATTAAATAATCTCATATTTTTTTACGGTATTTTCTGATTCAGGGGACAATTTTACATAAGAATTGGCTGTTAAATTTTGGGATACCATGGTATTCCATGGTTAACCATGGTACAAGTGAAAAAGCAGCCACTAATAACTATTAAATTAGTCATTTATGACTAATTCATTTTTAGAGAGTATGATAATAATAGATGTCTCTGAAGTTTGCAGTACTTAATTGATGCTTGTTTATTTTAGTGGTCATTGGTTTTGTTTTAACATTTAGGATTTTCTTTGGGTTAATTTTGAGTAGTAT